TGCTTGCTACAAAAGGCACAGTCTAACTAATTACAGGTAGTCCTACGTCAGGGGTGTCGAACTCAAGGCCTGCAGACTGGATCCAGCCCATGGGGTGCTTAAATCTGGACCATGGGGCTGGTCTGTAAATAGCAAAGGACCAGCCCGTGGTGCCTCTGGCAGCCAAAACAGGGCGCAGAGAGGCACATGCCCCCCCCCAGCACCTGATTTTGGCCAGCAAATTGCTGCAGGAGACTGTCCAAGACAAAAACCAGCCATGCAGGGACCACCCATGGGCTCCCTGCACCCAGTTTTGCCCACCAGGGTGCTGCAGGAGGCATCTATCCTGTCTCCCGTCTCCCCGCTGGCCGACCCGTGGAGGAGAACTACAGTGCTGATTTGGCCCTTGAAGAAATCCAGTTTCACACTCCTGTCCTAGGTTAACTAAAAATTCAGCAACCATTTGACGTTACAGTGATATTGAACAAGACTTAAGACAAATTATCAAAGTTGCAGTTGCTGCAGCATTCCTGAGTCATATGATTGTGATTTGAGCTGTTGACAACAGCTCACAATTATGAAGGTTGCAGTGTTCTGCAGCCATGTGATCACAATTTGCAAGTTCACTGTTGGCTTCGTACAAGCATAGTCATTGGGGAATCCAGCAAGTTGCAATCTGAAATCACGTGATGTTGTATTTAATGCTGTATAGAATTCACTTAACAACTACAACTTCTGGAGCTGCCGTTGTAAGTTGATACAGTCATATGACATTGTGCATTACAATTATGTCACTTAGCAACAGACGTGTTACCAATTACCATTGTTAGCAGAGGACAACCTATACAGAATATTATCCAGGTTTTAATTTTAAATAGTTTTAAGTTTCTTACTGTCCTTCAATTAAAACATAATATAAATAATATAAAGTAAGTGCGATCACCCAGGACTAGCATAGAGGACCTATTCTCTTTCCTGCTTACTATGTATATTACACATACAGATACAGATTATCAGAGTTGGAAGGGACCTTGTAGGTCATCTAGTCCAACCCCCCACCCAAGCGGGAGACCCTACACCATTTATGACAAATGGTGGTCCAACCTCTTCTTGAAAGTCTCAAGTGATAGCGCTCCCACAACTTCCGAAGGCAAGCTGTTCCATTGGTTGATTGTTCTCACTGTCAGAAAGTTTCCCCTTATTTCCAGGTTAAATCTCTCCTTGCTCAGTTTCCATCCATTATTCCTTGTCTGGCCTACAGGTGCTTTAGAAAATAGCTTGACCCCTTCCTCCCTGTGGCAGCCCCTCAAATATTGGAAGACCGCTATCATGTCTCCCCTGGTCCTTCTCGTTACTAGACTAGCCAAGTCCAGTTCCTGCAACTGTTTGTTGTATGTTTTAGCCTCCAGTCCCCTAATCATCCTGGTTGCTCTTCTCTGTACTTTTTCTAGAGTCTCAACATCTTTTTTATAATGTGGTGACTAAAACTGGATGCAGTACTCTAGGTGTGGTCTTACTAAGGCTTTATAGAGTGGTATTAGTACTTCCCTTGATCTTGACTGTATCCCTCTGTTAATACAATTTAGGATTGCATTCGCTTTTTTGGCTGCTGCTGCACACTGTTGGCTCATATTTAGCTGGTTGTCCACTAAGACTCCAAGATCCCTCTCACAGTTACTGCTATTGAGCCTGGTTTCACCCAGTCTATATGTGTACTTTTGGTTTTTCTTGCCGTAGGACTCTTCTCTACATTGAATTTCATTTTATTAGATATGGCCCAGTGTTCTAGTCTGTCAAGATCCATCTGGATCTTGAGCCTATCTTCTTGGGTGTTAAGCTATTCCTGCCAGCTTAGTATCATCTGCAAATTTGGTAAGTTCCCCTTCTATTCCCTTATTCATTACTGGGAACAGAAGATTCTTATATGCTTGCTAAACCTCACCCAGGCTTTCTTCTTGCATGGTATCTGTGAATGTTCTGTGCATGTGTGTGTTTCTATGCACAGATGCCTGTGCATAGCTATCTATGTGTCAGCAGTATCTGCAACAAGCCAAGATTGTGTCAGAATAATATCCATGATGACATCATGATGCAAACTCCATCCAAAATCTGACAAAAGTACGTAAGTTGTGACTTTTGCACCAGCACATCATGATGCTCATTTCATCCCTCCTCCCTCCATGGAAGTCTATGCTATGGGATAAAAATAAATCTGTAGCTTCTAATGGGTGCTGCTTTGCATTTTTTAAATTCTGATTAGTGAGACTTACCAATATAAGCAATTAAATGCATATTGTTTAAACTGTGGACAGTGTATAAAATACTGCATAATCCTACATCAATAAAAGATTCTTTGGCTGGACAATATAAAGGAAGAATCAAAACTTTATACATGAAAAAGCTTTTCATAAATAATGTATTATTTTTAAAAGTCCATGGTCCTGCTGGATTGTAGCAGCAATATAAGTAAACAAATAAATGTAACAAATAACTAATACTTGGCTAAGTATTCAAATAAAAAAAAGAGGGGAGATCAGACTTCCGGTTTTGCCAGGCTTCGGTGGCGGCGGGGTTTCGTGATCTTGCGCGATCCCTGTTGCGCTAGCCGTCTTGGTGCCTCCGATCCCGACGGGTCTGGAGGATAAGGCTGCCCCGTAGAGGCAGCCGAAGATAGGGGGGATCCGGACAGGGGTTTGGGGTTTTCGCAGACCCCCTCCCCACCCGGCATAACCCCCTTTTCTCAAGGCGGTGGAGCGGCGGTCAGTAATGGCCGCCACAAAGAAGCCGGCAGCTGGACAAGATTGTGCTGGAGGAAGAAGGAGAAAGTTTTGAAGCGAAAGTTTTTTGGCTGAACTGGGACTATAAGATGCATTTAATATCCTGAAAATCTTGATTTTTTGAAAGATACTTTGTTTCCAGAAGAGATTTATAAGCGGCGAGTGAAAGTGCTGAAAGAGAAAGTTTACTCTCCTTCCCTATGGAATTAACAAATGGATATTGAAAAGCCTGCTATTTTATAGAAGGTAAAAATTTAAAGCTTTTTGTTACAAGTGGAAAGGGAGAGGACAAAAGAAAAATTTATATTAAGATTTTGTTGGAGGAGATGCCTGGAAGATTTTGAGATTGGAAGTTAATCGCAATAAGACTTTAAAATACAGATTGGGTTTTTTTTTTCCCCTTTCCAATTGATATTACCCCAGGAAGAAAAAGTGTGAAGGGAAGAACTTTGTGCTCTGTTTGGATTGTTTGGGATTTTGGGGAATTGTTCTAAGCTTTGAATTATCTTGGTTGTTTTAAGAAGAAGAAGAAGAAAAAAAAGAAGAAAAGGTTTATAATGGCTTTATCTGTTGATGAACTGAGAAGAGGAATATGGTAAAATAAAGAAAGAAGGCAAAGACGCTGTGAGAGAAATTTTTCGCTTTTTAGAAATGGCGCTTGCTACTTATCAGCAAACACAACAATTGATGGAGGAAGCAGAAGAAGAAGAAGAAGCCATCTTTAACGAATCTACAAAGTTGATTAAGAAAGGAAGGAGAAAGAGAGGAAGGAAAAAGGACATAAGACTTAAAAAAACATCCAAGAAAGAGAAAAATAAGATGCAAAATCAATACAATGTTAGAAAGCAAAAGAAAAGAGAAATACAACAAAGAGGGGAAGCTAAGGGGGGTAAAAAGACCAGATGGGATAAGATAGGAAGGAAGAAGGGGGGGGAAAGCCACAAAGGTATGAAACAAGATGTGAAAAAGAAATTTTTTTTTAGGGATAAAGGGTAATGTATAACTTTGTTTCAAAAGGATTCTGCAAGGTACATAAGATAGTATTGTAGTATTTGTATTAGAAATAGAAAATTAGAATTTTATAAGACTTAAGTAAAGATTAAAACATTAAAGGTTTAACAATGATAGATTTTAAGATTTAATAAAATATTAAAAGGAATGTTTAAAATATTTAGTTTAAGTATAGAGTTTAATTGACTATTGTGTGGATGTTAGTATGAACTTATTATTGTAGCATTTGTTTTTGAAATAGATAATTGGAATGTTATGAGATTTAATGTTTAATTATATATTTAATTACTTTATGGATTTACTATTTTCTTTCTCTCTTAAAAATTAGTAGGTAGAATGTACTAAGCAGAATCAGATAGGGAACTAGGTGTTACCTTAAATGTTAATTTAGGGGAGCGATGGAAAGGCATCATACTTCGATTAGTGATTTCAGGAGAAATCTTTTTTTTTCTACTATAGGGAATGAGATAAATGGATAATTGGAAAAGAATGGACAAAAGATACAAGTATAATGATTTAAATTAGAATTAAGAAGAGTGGAAATCGGGGAGAAGTTATAATGAAGATATAGAATGGTAAATAAGATAGGTAATGGTGTATATGATGAGCATAAATTTAATTGAAGTCCATATAAAGAGAGGTAATCCGGGGCCAAGCTACTTTTTAAAAAGAAGTTTTATGTTTTTGTGTTTTGTGTGTGTATGTTCGTTTGAGATTTAATAAAACCTTGGAGGAAAGCTAGAGGAGAATAATTGCAAACAAGACAGAGGGAAATATGAATATGATGATTATAAAATGGATAAATATAGAAGAAATGTAACTGAATAAGAGCAAAGAGAAATAATGAGAAATCTGCTAAAAGATATTTAAGTGGAAATGGGATATATCAGAACTATATTGTATAAAACAATGTTTTATCTGCCTTGTAAAAATTTATAATGGAAAGAGGTTTAATGTCTTCAATGTTTAATGATGTTTTGTTTGTCTTTAAAAATTAATAAAATCTGTTGTTTTTTAAAAAAAGAGGGGAGATCAAATATTTTAGCTATTTTTAGTTTTATAATTTAACAAAAAATATGAAGTGGGATTAAGATACCAATATCATACAGTGTGATACTAGGATGAACGTTAGTAGCCAAAAGTATGAGCTCCTATGCCTGATTTTATAAGGTTTGATAATGCTTTCATTTTTAAATTTAATAATACATTAATATTTTCTTTCACTTTGCACAGCTTCTGGAAAAACACAAGAATATAGAAAGCATGGTGGAGTTGCTGGAATTATATCAAATGGAAGATGATGCATATGGTAGTCTTGCTGAAGCCACCACAGAACTCTATCAATATTTACTGCAACCATTCCGAGATATGAGGGAACTTGCAATGCTCAGAAGACAGCAAATAAAGGTACAAAATCAGCAATATACCCTAAAAATATTATTGGACATTATAATAAGTGAACCTTTTCATCCCATGTCATATATATATCTTTGAATATTTGTCACACTTTCTGAAGTTGTAAAAGTTTGTGTCTTAGGTTGAGTCAAAATTAGAAGTACAAGAATGACTTTTCTTCATGGTTTTTAAGCTTTATAGTCCCTTCTGATTTCTTTTCTTGGTTAAAGTATTTGTGGAGAAAGCAAATAAAAGCCTTGGCTATAAGAAAAGATGTTTGATAATGGGCATTGAACAAAATGGATTGAACTATTGTTTTTAGTAAGGAATATCTTACTCAGGCACTGAAATTTTGTGTGGATCAGATACACTCTGGGTTTTGAACCTTTAGCAGTTAACTGCTTAACAAGTTGCAAAATATTTTTACAGAATCAATAGAATAAAACTGCTATTTTTCTTTTGAACAAATTTGAAATTCTAGGCTTATGTCAGAATTACCAGTTAGATGCTCGGTTTTAAGTTGCAACAGAACAATGGGAGAAAAAATGCCAAATGGCATTTGTTATGATCTATACTGCTAACTTTACAACTCATTTGTACAACTGTGCTGTCTTCTGAGCCACCCAGTTATTTCTATGTCCGTAACCAGGGGTGGGATGCTACCAGTTCTGCCCGGCTCTGTAGAACCGGTAGCTCTGAAGAGCAGCAGACACAGAACAGGTTCTGTGTCTGCTGCTGTTTGGCCCGCCTGCCCGCCCGGGCTCTTATCTGACCTTTATTTCCTGCTTTTTCAACCTCAGCTGCTTTGCATGGCACAGCTGAGGCTGAAAAAATCAGTAAAAAAGGCTTTTTTCAAACGCAGCGCACCTGCGCGCAGCATTTATCAGCTGTCCGGGAGGCACAGCTTTTGTTGTACTGCGTGTGTGTAGCGCACATGCGTGCGCAAAACATAAGTACTGAACTGGTAGTAACACCGGTTGAATCCAACCCCTGTCCGTAACTAAACATTTTTGTAGCAAACCTCCATTAGACGGAATCATTTGAGGGATAAGAAGAAAGATCTATTGAAATATACTTTTTATATAAATATGAATAGCAGGTTATCTATAAGAACATTCTTTTCATATTTAGATATGCATTGGTATGGTTGATTTTGTGCTGGGAACCTGTTGAAGAAGAAGATTAAGCACCTGTTCTTTATATATTTAGGTCTCTCCTTAGGAACGCATACTGTATTATTCGTCTTAGAAGAAAAATTGCACTGATGGCATAATGATAAATAGATAAGTAAAAAACTCTCTTTGCTTAACTATTTATCATTGTGCCATCAGTTCCACTTTTTCTTCCAAATATATCTTTCCAATAAATTGTAACATTTTACAGGAATTTTAATTGTTTACCACCTGCAAGCTTCAACATGAGTAATTCACTCTTCTAAACTTTAATTTGAAGTGCAGCTATTGGCTGTCTTATTCTATTAACATGTTATCAGATCTCTTCCAATGATAGAAAAGAGATACTAAGGAAAAAAAATGAATGACCATGAGATGAAATATAAATCCCATGCCCCAATGCTTAGCTATGGTGGATAATCTGCACACTACTTGCCAAAAGGTAAGGGGCAGAAACTGTTTATTCTTGTCAAGTAAAAGTGCTCAGACAACATTAGGCTGCCTGGAAAACTTAAAGTAAATAATTGGACAGAGACTATTTTCTAATTTAATGTCATATGTAATGTTTTCTTCAGTTTCCTTTCCAGTGTAGATTAGGACATAAGGAGAGGAAAGGATGTCACCACACCCTTTTCAGGCTTTTTTAAAATGCTGTACAATACAGTGTTTTAAATATTTTTCTATGAAGAGAATTCCTTTCCCTGTTTTCTTCTTGTTTTCATACCCAACATTGTTGCCTTGCTGGAACGTAGCAGTCCTTTGCCTGCCCCTATCCAGAGTTCGTAGTCTTTCTAAATGCCTAACAGGTTTCCTGGAGCTTGCTCCATTTGCACAACTTTTAAAGAATAGGATGAAAGTAGAGGTTTTTTCCCCAGATCTCTCTTCATGTGCTAATTTGTTTCTTTTACCTTTACATCTCAGTTTTTTTTAATTCCCTAGATTGTCTTGTTTCTATCATTTCCCTTTTCAATAATAGGAAAAATGACATGAAAAAATGCCCATTTAAGGTTTGATAAGCAAATGAGCAAAATTATAAAGGAGCACTAAATGATTTATAAATAGTTTTTGTCCAATTTCCATTAGTTAATTTTCCCAAATATTTTTTTTACTGTTCAGAAAAGTCCATGATAATATTTTAAAGAAATTATCCTTATATAATCTTTGCAAGATTATATGTTTACTACTTATCCCTTGCTGTTTATTTCATGATGGATACAGTGAGTTGATTTATCTTCAGATTTCCATAGAGAATGATTACCTAGGACCTAGAAGAATTGAAAGCCTTCAAAAAGAAGATGCAGACTGGCAACGGAAGGCTCATATGGCTGTATTATCTATACAGGACCTTACAGTAAAATACTTTGAAATAACAGCAAAAGCACAAAAAGGTAATGGATAAGCTATTTTACATTTGCTGCTAAAACTGTTTATCTAAAATTTCTTTACGTGTTCAACAATCGTGTAACCTTGCAGTTTCTCAAATGAACATTATTGTTCTAAGTAAATATCTCTACTCAAATCACCAATTGATACGTTTTTTCCTGATTGAAGTGGCTTATTCAGTCTGTGATATTTGTGGGGAAAGTGTTCTATAATATTATTAGCACCATTCTGTGGAGTGGGGTATATTTCACTTGAACACAAGGAACTGAAGTTTGAGAAATAAGTTTATATTGAGTTTAATTTTTGAAATTAGTGTCTCATAATTTTCTTTTTCCCTTCAGTTTTCTTCTTTTACAAGTTCAATACCATTATAACTTAATAAGCTATTGATTGTTAATTAAAAACTATGGATACTTTCTGTTTATAACTTTTTATTATACCAAAATTATAATTTAAAAAATAATTATTTTCTACAATTTCCTTTTAATTTTTCACTAATTGGTTTGGTGTGTTTTATCCAGTTGCTTTTAATAATACCAATAATTTGGCCATTAAATAACTTCAAGCTATAGATTACATTAAATAAGAATAAAAGTACCACATTACCCCCAAAAAACCCAAAACCCAATTTTTAAAATTAAAATAACTACTACTTTGAAGATTGTAACATTTTATTTGCATAAAGAGGAAGCTGATTTACTTAAATAGGATTTATAATGAAACCATTTCCAAGTATGATAAGCCTGCTATTAAATTTTATTTACAGCTGTATACGATCGTATGCGAGCAGACCAGAAAAAGTTTGGTAAGGCAGCTTGGGCAGCAGCAGTGGAACGAATGGAAAAACTTCAGTATGCAGTGTCTAAAGATACTTTGCAATTGATGAGAGCAAAAGAAATCTGTTTAGAACAGAAGAAACATGCATTAAAAGAAGAGGTAATAACTGATGAGTATTCAACCTAAAAGGAAACTTGAAAATTATTTTGTAGTGCTAAATTTCAGGATAATGGACAGGGATTTCAAGAGTAAAATCATTGGCTAGTGATTACAATTTTCTTTGAAAAGAGACTAGAAATTAATTAAGAGCTATTATGTAGCTATTGGAGAGGCTGGATAAAATAATTTCAATAAATAAATTCAAAGTCATGTAATAAGTAGTAGTTCACTCTTTTTTTCTGTTTTATCTAGTACATATTTTTCTTTCTTGGAGATTATTTAATATTCTTTAAAACAACTGAATCATTGTGATTGAAAGAATATGAATTACATGCATAAATAAATACATTAATAATCCTTCCAAGTGCAGCTATACTTGGTTGTAAGGATTGTCTAAGTCTGAAAACAGATAAAACCTGCCTATGAGCCATGGGTATTCACACTGGGCACAGGGCAGATGATGTTTTTGGTGATGGTAGTAATATTTAGTCTTTCTACTTATATGAGCACTCAAGGCAACATTGATCACATTTAAATCAAGAAATACACAATTTATTTTTAAAGTGGAGAGAACTAACTGTTGCAATAGAAGGTTACTAGACTGAATTTCTTATATGATTCATAACAGTGTCATTCAGATATTTTTTGCTGGCAACATTTCAATAGACCAATGTGGTTGCTTTCTTTAAACAAGGCTTGCTTATTTTTGAAAGTACTCATGCACAAATATATGAAAGGTAGGCATTTATCTGTGGTATTAAAATGAAAACTTTCTGGGAGAAAGATTAGATCCTATCTTGCAGTTCTGCTGCCAGCTATTGTCATTATGATGACAACCAGAAATTCTATATCATTGAGCACTCTTTAGATTAGTAGTCCCCAACCTTTGCAACTTGCGGCCCGGCTTGGGGTGAGGGGGGAAGGGAACCAAGCTGCATGAGCAGTCGGCTAGGGTACACGTGTATGCACACACAGCTCAACTAGTTGATCTATGCGTGTGCATGCACATGCGTACCAGCCCACTACTCACACAATCCGATAGTGCGCCACAGCCTGGGGTTGGGGAGCTCTGCTTTAGAGAATTACAAATATATCAGATATAGTTGGATGCCTTCAGTGTTACGCTCGGACTTAAGTTTAAACTTTCAATTTAATGTTTGGGGTGTATTCAGGGGCCTCAAAGAGTTGTTTCCTAGTAGATTCTGAAAAGATGACATTTTAAAACTGGGTCACTGTTGCTTTTATTAACTAACTGCAATGTTGATTCAATTTAGTATTTTACTTTTAAAAAAAGTTTTTTGTGGCATCTTGTTTGCTGAATTAGCATCGTAACAACAAATGTGAGGACAAATGTAACTACTTTGAATATATGGCAAAGAAAATTGCTTTAGAAAAAAAGATTATATCAAAGCAGTACTTTACTTCAGTCTATTAAAATTCACTATGCTGTATTTATCCAATATATGTATTGAGTGCATAAATACGTGTAAAGAGTGGATCTTTTTCTCCCTCATAAACTTTTATTGGGCCATTCAACTATTTCCAAGCACAGTAGGATATTTTATTATGTTAAATTTTTAAAAGTTTATCTATATATTTTCTTTCTACACAAATAAAAAATTAACCTTTGATAATACATATAAAACTGAGCTATTATCATGAATAATACAGTTATGAATAATATGGTTTTAAATAATAATATTTACTTTCTTTTGATTTCTAATTCCTTAATGTATCCTGTTCTGTGATGGAATATTTTGCAGTTAGTTTGGTAAGATTAAGATTTATAACCCTTTTGATGTAATTATTTTTTTAAAAAAAAAAATCAGATGCAGAGCTTACAAGGGGGCACAGAAGCTATAGCTCATTTGGACAAACTTGAAGCTGATTATTATGACCTGCAACTTCAATTGTATGAAGTGCAGTTTGAAATTCTGAAGTGTGAAGAACTATTTCTGACAGCACAACTTGAAAGCATTAAAAGACTTATTTCAGGTGACATATATTTGTTTCATATCTATATATTTAGCAGTATCATTGACTAATATATAAGTAGTCTTTATTTACTGACTGCCTCATTCAGTGACTGTTTCAAGTTATGATAGTACTAAAAAATAATTTCATGAACAATGCCAGCATTTATGATCTTCATAAAGTCTCCCAGATACATAATCACCATTGCAGGCAGGTAGTCCTTGACTTACAACCATTTGTTTAGTTAAAATTAAAATGGCACTGAAAAAAGTGATTTATGAACCTTTTTTACACTTACAATTGTTGCAGCATCCCCATCAAAATTCAGACGTTTGGTAACTGCCATGTATTTATGAGAGTTGCAGTGGCCCAAGTCGTGATCGCTTTTTGTAACAAGCAAAATGGCGAAGCCAGATACACTTAATTGTGTTACCAACTTACCAATTGCAGTGATCACTTAACTGTGGCAAGCAAGAACATAAAATGAGGCAAAGCTCATGTAAAATCTGCCTTGGTTAACAATGGACATTTTGGGTTCAATTGTAGTCATAAGTCAAGGACTACTTGTAGGCCTTGTCCTGTGCCTGACTTGTATTTCTTTTATTTCCTTTACAGATTGGAGAGAAGGAAATTACAAGAGTGTCTGCAGGCATATAATAGGAAATACACATAGAAAAGAACGTGATGGAGTTGGTAGTCTTGAATACATTAAGCAAATAGCTGGTGTATTTCCCATTGTGTGTCTCCTTAATTTCTTGTAAACCCTTTGAAATCTCTCCACTCTATGAGGCACGGAGGAGAAAAGAAAACAGTCAGGCACAATAGAGATTGCCTAAAGAGATTGTTTTTTTCTTCTCCCCACCCTATCCCTAGATTGTTCAAACAATTTTTCTACAAGAAGGGGTGGAGAAAGTAATGTCTACTGTGCCTCACCCATTTAAGCCCCCCCCCCCCCCAGTTATTTCTAGTTCAGTTATTGAAACTGTTGTATAGAACAGTCCAATGTATAACTTGTTAGTGGAATTTATTTAATATGCACATATATAGGATTGTAATCTTAATTGTTTTTGCTTCTGGCTTTTTTATTTTATTGAGATGTCCAGGATAGACTATTCTAGTGTTAAGATGTTGATGCTGGTCTCTGATCGATGATAAAATGAATTTGTGGTTGCAATCTTAAGAAAAAATTAAATTGTGAATGTTAGTTTGATGCATTTTTCCACACTGGTTAACTGCTTACCATAGTTACCATATATGAATATCAACTCCATTTTACATTTATATTATATATTACATTACATACATTACACTACTACATACTGCCCAGTAGCTGAAGCAGTCAGAGTGATTTACATAAGATTCACTAAATTATAAATATGTACAATACAATCAATTAAAATGCAAGTGAAAACAGAATAAAGTAGATAGAGCATGACAATAATTCAGAATTGAAAAGAGTAAATTAAAAGCCAATTAAAAAGTCTGGGAAAACTTTAGCTCTGTAATCTAATTTGTAAGTGATTTTGTGGTTGTTTCTCTCCTAGGACATAGGCAGAGATAGATGTTCTAATCTTACAATTACATTTACAGTATTTTTTAAAAAAAAACTTTTCAGAATGTTGCATATATTTTGTAGTATGGTTTTGCTTAACTGAATATATGTTTAAAATTATTAAATGAGTTGGAATTTTGTGACAGAAAAAAGAGATGAAGTTGTATATTATGATACTTATGAAAGTATGGAAGCCATGCTGGAAAAAGAAGATATGGCAGCATCCATACATTTGCAAAGAGAAGAGTTGCAGAAATTACAACAGAAAGTCCGTCAACTAGAAGCAAGGCGTGGTCGCATTTCTGCCAAAAAAGCCTACCTCAAAAATAAAAAGGTAATGTTTTTGTTCATTTTTCCATTTTTCAGCAAACATATTTTGCAGTAGCTATAATTTAGCATGGCTAAAATCATGAGATGTTGACTTAAAGACAGACACTTTTATTTATTTGAAATGCAGCAGTCAACCCTAATGCTAAGGCAGATTGCATCGGGCCTTTCTGTGCCATCTTTATTCGCTTTCAAATGGTTGCTCAGCTCAAGTGTACTGTATATAACTGAATATACATTTCATTGAGGGCCACAGCAGCGCTGTGGTTGACCTTGGGGGGGGTGGCCAACTGGGTGGGGGTGGCCAGCTTAATGCCACTCCCCAAATTGCTGGCATGTTTCCTTCGCGCACTGGGTAGACCGTCCCGAAGCAACGCTGGCCTGATCTTTCCTCTTCACACTGGGTAGACCTGGGCTACCCAGGTCTGAAGCTACGCTGGTCTGATCTTTCTTTGCCCTGGGTAGACCAGGCCAATCTTTCCTCTTTGCATTGGGTAGACCAGGATGGCCCTGCGGGCTGGATCCAGCCCACAGCCCTTGAGTTTGACCCCTGGTATGTAACCTTGAAAAGCCCTAATGATCAAAATTAAAATCACTTGTTGCTGTATATTTTTGTCAGCAATTTATTTAAAGTTTTCTTAATAGTATTTTCTTGATAGTATTCACTTGCACACATGTCCTCCTCTTGTTTCCTTGCTATAAGTATCATTGTAGGACTGAAGAGTACGAGATAGCTTTTTAATTAGTGTTATGCTAGTCAGAAATTAATCTACAGTTGCAGAAAAATAATTAGTTTTGAAATTCCTGAGAAATAATGCATCAAAAATGGGTTTATACAACCAGTTTGGAGCTGCATGAAATTATACTTTAATTTCAATTGCATAATATGACTGTATATTTTAATTTTGGTTGGATACTAAAGAAATTATAGATTTTTCTCAGTTGGGTTAAGCATGATTTATCTACTGTTATGTTTATAGAAAAAGCAGAAAGGACGGGGGGGGGGGGAGAGAGAGAGAGATGATACTTGAAAACTACTCAAAAGCCACACACACACACAGAGACACACACACACACACGAATATGTTAATAGAAAAAAACTTCTTTGTTTTATTCAGTTTGTAATATCTTCATTCTCTTAAGTAATGTTTACTCCATGTAAATCCTATGGAGGGTGGGATTCTGTGGCAAACTACCTGCTATATCCTAGTTTGTAAACTTATTTTGATCAGACTTTCCTGCACTCCCCACTTGCCTGTTTCTATTAATTCTATTGCAAAAAAATCAGTGTACCAACCAGAATGTTATTCATAGTCTTGCAAGAATGAGAGGTCTTTGGATCCATGGACAATCACAGATTTTCACATCTTATACCTTAACATTGATAGAATATAAATAAATTGTGGCAGAGCTTCTGCTCTGAATCAGAGTTCCTCTACTAAAGACAAGATCAATATATAAAGTCATGTTTAAATGGAAAAATGTTCTTTCTTTGTAGGAAATCTGCATTGCAAAACATAATGAAAAATTCTCACAGCATTCTCAGAGTGAAGAAGAATTAGAACATGCTGCAAAATTTGTGAGTGATTTTTTGCTGATTTTACTGATTTAAGATTCTTTGTGCCCTTTTTACAGAATTTTACAGGAGCATTGTGTGTGTGTGTGTGTGTGTGTGTGTGTAGTTTACTCGAAAATAAGCCCTTATATGTTTTTACGCATGCACCTAATATAAGCCCTACCCCCAAATAAGCCCTACTTAAGCCCCTGCGCAGCTGGCCACCCATCCATTCTGTCTGGTTGCTCATGATTCCATCAACAAGAGGCAAGGGGGGATGGAGTTGCCCTACATGCCCCACATCGGCTTACCTCAGGGCCCCCACAGCCAGGCATCCATATCCCGACAAGTGCCTCATGACGGCAGCACCAAAAACCATGTGCAGCAGGAGCCCACATGGCCGCTGGCCCACTTCTTCTGCTTGCTTCTTTAAAATCTCCAATGATGGAGCACCTACAGATTCTGAAGGCAAGCCAGTCCAGAGGTTAATTGTTCTCACTGTCAAGAAATTTCTCTTGTTCTAGGTTGGTTCTCTCTGTAATTTGTTTCCATACATTACATCCATTTTTTGTAGCAGCCCCTCAAATTGGAACACATCATGTCATTCCTGATCCTCTTTTTCACTAGACTAGACATACCTAATTCCTGCAGCAGTTCTTTATATGTTTTAGCCTCCAGCTCTCTAATAGTCTTTGTTACTCTCTGCATTCTTTCCAGAGTCGTAACATCTTTTTTATATTGTGGTGACCAAAATTGGATGCAATATTCCAAATGTGGTCTCACCAAGGCATTATAAAATGATATTAACACTTCATATGATCTTGATTCTATCCCTTCATTAATGTAGCCTAGGATTGCATTAGCTACAGTACACTGCTGGCTCATATTTAATTGATTGTCCACTAGGACTCCAAAATCCCTCTCACAGTTACTGCTGTTGAGCCAAGTTCCACCTATTCTACAGCTGTACATTTGGTTTTCCTTGCCTAAGTATAAAACCTTTTCTCACCACTAAATTTGATTTTATTAGCTAGGGCCCAGTATTGAACACAGACAGAACTTTGGAGTACTCCATTACTTATTACCCTCCATGTAGATGTAATTCCATTAAGGATTACACTACATTGTCCTCTGGAGAAGAAAGTAATAATGTAAGGATATTATTCTTTTCTCCCAAATTTCTGTTCCTCTTATATTTTACCATTTTGTTTTTATCATCAGAAAGGAGAGCAGTTGCAAGAGGAGATAGAAAGAAAAAGCTCATGGGTTAGTCAAGAACGACAGAAAACATTGGACAGACTTCGAACATTTAAACAGGTAATTGGAAAAGATTGACTTCACTTGAATTTTCATATAGGAGTTTAAATAAATTATTAAACAAATTATTAAATAATAATTTGAGCAGTTAACCCATGAAGTCTGAATTTGCCAGAACTCCCTATCATCTAAACACATGATGTGTGGATCGGTTGTTAAATTATACATCACAGGAAATTAATAAAGAAGATTAGAATATTCATAAAAATCATTTTTATTTCAATTCTCAGCTAGAAAGAATAATTATACTTGATTTTTCTATAATGGATTTTTCAATTTAGTTAAGTACATTATGTAGCCTTTCAGATGCTATTATGATCTATAAATGAAAATTTTGTTTAAAAAGAAAAAAAAGATTTTTTAAAGTGAATTTTAAAATTGGAAAATTTAAAGCTTAGTTTCACATATTTATTATCTTTTTTATCTGATGATTTTTGATATGGTTCTTGCTGACTTTGGATTACCAATAATCAGTATTTATATCACTAAGGTTGTTGAAAAAATATTGAGGAATTAAAATGTTCTTCATATAATGTAATTCACATCAATTGTGCAGAAATAGAAAATTTATCTTGAATGAATTTTCTTGTTCAGATGAAAATAAATTATTACGACTGCATTGTAAACTTTCTACATTCCACCTCTATGGAAAATGTAATTTCAATGTTGTTTTTCTGCTTTTCTATTTCATTTTATTTTAAAGTTTCTGGCACTGAAATATGAAATATGTAAATGACTTCTTACTGTAATTTTTTAAAAATGAAGTTTGCATACTGGGCTACAGAAGTGTAAAATTCTACAATTTAAATTCTTTTTTTTTTTTAACTTTCTAAGCGCTATCCTGGGCAGGTAATTCTCAAATCAACTAGACTTCGCCTGACTCATACAAGAAGAAAAAGTACAGCCACTTCAACATCTTGTCTAGATCATCCCCCATCTTCACCAGTAACTACACAGACAGATAATATGGAGCAAGAAAAAGTAATCCAGCCTTTACAAAAACGGGACTCTACAAATTTAGGACAATTTGAAGATATTTTTCTATCTCCCAGTAGTGTTATGTCTGAATTTTCTCAAACTGATTCTCTTCCAGCTCTCATTAGTAGTGAATTTATTTCCAATACAATCAGTGAGGCACCATTTCCTCCTCCTCTACCACCGCCACCACCACCACCTCTGCCCACCAAGGAAGAACCTACTCAGTGTTCTGAAAAAAGCACCAGTCCTGTTAAACAAAGCAATGCAGAGAAACCAGCTCCGTTGATCACTATTGCACCATCAGCTCATTTTTTTGATAGCAGTGAATTAGTCAGTGCCAAGAAAAAATTGAAGAAAACTGGTGATATAGAGGGATTGCAAAGAAGAAGAGGTAATTTCTGATTTATTTTGAATGAAGCTACGTAAAAAGTAAAACCAGTGTTTGTTTACTATTGCTTGGCTAAAAATATAAAATAATAACCAGGTTTCAAATCATTAGCTTGTCACACTAAATAAAACTTTGAGATTGTATACCATGAGCAATATCTGCCTAGGCCCATATATTTGAAACAAAAGATATTTGAAAAGCATTTGTAATAAAACTTGAATTTTTATGGGGGGAAGATCAATAATCAATTCTTAATTGATTGGAAATACTGTACCATGTGAATCCTTTTCTTAATAACAACATGATTCCAACAGTATTAGTATTGTTTTCACCAATCATCCAATAACATCAGGTTTATATCTATTTATTCTTTAAATATATCTCTTTCCATTGTTTGTCTCCCCCTCAGGCAAGTTGACTAAGGATACTTGTTTCAGGATTTTTTTTAAAAAAATGCAACCTCAAAAAGTATACACATACTGTAACCAAGAAGTGATGAGTAGTGGTTTATAATTTTTTTTAAATTTCTTCCCTCTGTAATCTAAACAGTTTTATTTGTTTTGTTTATAATAGTAAACAATTAACAAAAATCTGCATCCAAAGAAGAGAGAAGCAAATTTTGTTTCAGATCTATTTTTTATTTTGTTTTTTCTTTCAATGAAGGAAAAATTATATTAAAAGTTTGCTTGCTGGAAACTATTTAATTTGCCATACATTTAGGTGATCTGGGCTATTGTCAAACCCTTAATTTAAACATAGATTTTCCCAGGACCATGTTGTAGCTATTGTGCAAACCCAAGAAGATATGTGGCTTCTTTAAGGAGATCCAAAAGGTACAGCAAATGAACTCATATTAGATTTGAATACCTTTCTCATTTTGGAACTGAATACTGTACACAAGATAAAATTAGAACTTGTAGTACGTAAATTTATATTTAGTAAGTCTTACTATTTTCTATAGTGAGTTCACCAATGGATGAGGTTTTGGCTTCCCTGAAACGTGGCAGCTTCCACCTGAGGAAGGTTGAACAGAGAAATCTACCCCCATTTCCTGATGAAGATGACAGCAATAACATCTTGGCACAAATCAGAAAAGGCGTAAAACTGAAGAAGGTTCAAAAGGACATTATGAGAGAATCATTCACAATTTTACCTGATGATGATCCTTTAACGCGCAGTATCCATGAAGCACTACGACGGATTAAGGAGGCATCACCAGAGTCTGAAGATGAGGAAGAGAATCTACCATGCACAGACTGGGAAAATTAAGGGTAATTTTAACATAAGTAGTAGTAGTAGCCTCTTAGATGATGTGCAGCCTTTACAGGAATTAATGTAAGTTTTCCTCCATAGGAGAGAAAATACTAGAGTGCCTTAAGACTAACAGACAATGTAAACATTTTCTTGTTTACATTTTCTTATTTTTCATTTTGTTAAGATATTAGATTAAATGCTCTTACACTCAGTAATACAATTGCCACAAGCTATTAATTTTTCAAATTCAAGCAACAAATTTACCAAGGAGGAACCCACATCGAAAGGTTTTTAGGGCCTTATGAAAGGCTAACAGGGTGTAGGCTATTCTAATCTCCAAAGGGAGAATGTTCCATAGAGCAGGAGTCACTGTGGAAAAAAGTTATCTTTGGTCCCTTCCAGCCAATGCTTCCTAGCCACCTGATACATTACTTAGTTGGGTGATGAAACATCTGAAAGCAAATAAAAAGCACTAAGTTTTCACAATTCAACTCTGAGCTACATGTATTATCTTCTATTAGAATTTATAAACATATTAAATAAACATAAGAGGAAAACCATGTAGCCTATGTTAGCCAAAAAAAGTTTGATGATGAATTTTCGGATGTACACATTTTATTAAAAAGTATATAATTTTCTGAGTTACAATTTAACTTTATCAGATTCATGTAGTAGAAGGTTCAGTTACACTGAAATAGGGCATTTGATTTCTGGATTCTAAACTGAATTCAAACATTTGCTATGTTAATTTTTACTTGCCGTCATAGTTGTTATCAATTTGACAAAGATGGCCTTATCAAATTAATAAATGAATTGGCATGCTAGTAGCTAATTACTGGTAAATTTAATAAAATGGAGGTCATGTCTGAGGTCTTCAAAACAAGTTTTTCAGTTAAGAGAATTTTCATTTAATAATGTAGCCTAGTGAACATAACATTACTGTATTTTTTTCAGTATAAATTTTACTGCAGAATAATTTATATATTAAATGAGCAGTTTATAGATGCAAGTGTTGATTTCTTCCATAGCTCTGTCTGCGGTAGCTAAGCATATTCAATGGCTCTGTATCTGGGCCAGAAATGCTAATGATGCTGGATTCCAATTGATAGCAACCAAAGGATATTTTTCCCAATTCCAATACATCAAACCCATTTAACTAGCGATGGCACAAATTGAACCTGAAGATGTTGACATGCAGAGAAGATATATTTCTGTTCAGTTGTGGCTTCTTCCTGTGCCTTCTCTTCATATCTACTGCATATGATCATTGACTTCTTATAATAATAATCCCAAATGACTATTCTAAGCTTGCTATTTTTAGTCTTTTGCCAATATTCTGTAAGAAGGATTTAAAACAAGGACTTGTGCACTTGCAAAAATAACTGGGTTACAAGTGCTTTCTTTTTCAGTAACTATTTTCATGTGTTGACAGTTAAATGTGGGTCTTCCTAATGTATATTGAATGCCTTAACCCCAGCACTATAGTGTTATGGCTAAATTTTGCCCCTTAGTGTCAAGTGATGATATGTCATGGCCCCATCGGATCTCGGTTCAGAGGAGGAGGGGGAAGAGGAATTGGAACCGGGACTGTCCAACAAGAATGGCATATCTTCCCTGGAATGTTTAGAGAGGCCAGGGGCTGAGCACAATGCTATCCCAGCCCCCTCAGGCATTGGGAGAAGTGGTCAACCAGAGGGGGAGCTGCCTACACTCTCAAAGAGGGAAGGATGGCTGCAGATGGCCCGTGGTGATGAGAGGCAGCAAATCGCCTCTGATGAGGAATAACTGCCTCACCCGCTTGATCCGAGGGCATAGAGAATAGAGTGGAGGCAAGCTCAAATGAGGTCTGTGAAGCTGCTCATGAGAAGATCCCTCCTCACAAGGAGGACATAGCTTGGGTTGACTTAAGCAGAGGCTGGAGGAGGGTGTCTTTGTTGGGAATAATTATCTTGCTTTGGCATGCACTTCTCCGGCCTTGGAAAACACTGCTTGGAATCATGTTTCTACCTGTGCCTTTGCCTTGTGGATTTACGTTGCCTTGTGGACCTTGAATTTTATGTATGACTTACAGACGTTGCCCTATGGACTTGCACCTTGTTTTTGGATTTCCTCTCTGCCTTTGCAAATTTGATGGGACTGTGGTGGCTGCCTTTAGGGAAGTTTGCGGTGGAGCTTTACCAGCAGTTGTAGAGCAATTTACTGTGGAATTAGCAGAGCAGTAAAGGATTCTATTGAAGCCAGCCTCTGCCTAGGCAACCTGGGTCATAACATAATATAGGATTAGGATGACCAGAGCTGCTTCTTTCATTGTCTCCTGCCCTTCAATGTCTTTGGACATTGGGAAATCCTGATTTCTATGACAGCTAAATATAGAGGCTGGCAGGGCAATATATGAATTCCAATAACAGATTTATTCATTTAATTGGTTTGTTGCTATGTCACCATTAAGTTTATAAGGGTGAAGTTATTGATTGCAATATTTCTGTGACAAGTTTTTGCTTTCATTTTGCCACCCCAGCCAGGAGTGGGATTTGGCAGTTCGCCAAACCAGCCATAACGTTAGCTACGGATCCGCCCAAACTTGGGCAAACCTGTAGTAGCTCACCCCTGCCAGAGACTACTTGAAACATAAGTTCCCAAAAAACTATATTCGGAACAGAAGCTCTGAAAGTTGAAGGGCAGGAAGAGGGAAGAATATTTTTTTCCTTCAATGATTTGGAAGGGGTTCTTGCCAGTAAGTAAAACAGACCTCCCACAAGTTTAACATTCCAAAATGCCATAAAAGAAACACTTGGTTTCAGTTTTAAATGTATCATAGCTGAATTAGGAATAATTTAAGTTAGGTCTCTCAATTTCTATGGGATCATGAGATCAGGAGCTACTGTTGACTTGTAGACATTGTTTTCAGGGGAATTTTTTTTAAAGGTCAAGATTATGTTCACAACTCCCCCTGTGAAGAAATCTGCTCATTGGGGATGTCCTTATCATTCATGATCCTGTTTGAATAGAAGAGAAAATGCATAGTTCGGGGTTGAACTGTGGAATACTTTGTGCTGTCTAAACTTGGCTTTTTGCTTACAGACATTTTATTTCTCAACTATGTAACATCATCAATAAAAGTTAGTTTTCGTAGACTCCATAATATTTCCTTGATTGTATCAAGTACTTGTTATCAATCTCAGTACAGGGCTTCCTACATAAATTGAAAGAGGTATGGAATAATTCATTAGAATGTAGTGGTTGGACATGATCTCAGAGACCACTTGTCCATACCTAAATAACAATAGCGTTCTTGGCAGATGACCATCACATCTCTGTTTGACACCTTAGGACATTACCTGTTAAGCAGGGGTGGGATTCAACCGATGTTACTACCGGTTCGGTGATTACGTGTTGCGCGCACATCGTTAAAACAAATTTATACAAACACCAATCTAGCCAATGGAACTTTGGCTGGCAAACCAAGTTGGAACACTTATACATGATTAAAATTAATTTAAAAAACCAAATTGAGACTCATTGTGCTACTTTCATAGCAAACACATATCCTGGTCTATTCTAACATCCTATCTTTTTCCAGAAAACCAGCAAAGTCAGGGTAATCTAAATTTCTAAGAGGGGGAAGTTCCATAAGGGAAGTACGATGACAGGCAAGGCATGCTTCTAATGTCTTATGAGATGACACTGCTTCAGCTAAAAGCTCCCTATGGATCTGTAATAGTTTCCTAAAGTGACTGTGTTTTGCTCATTAGAATGGTTTGCAGTTGTCTTTTCGGTATCTTATTTTTCAGAGGTTCTCAACCATCCTGCATTTCTTTGTCATGAAAATAACAATCCATGGGGCCCTATTTACTTTTTGTCTATAGTTAAGGAATGAGACTGAAGTACAATTTAGATTTTATTTGAAATTGGCAGTCCTGAAATCTTATATGCTATTTATTTCACTCCCATTTCTCTTTCTGTAGAACATTTTAACTATATTTTTAATTAGAAGTCAGTATTCAATCAGATTGGCACATTATTCAGTTGTGTGTCTTTAATTCTATGACACAAGCCTTTTTCATTGGCACAATTTTTTAAAAGAAAGGCGATGTCCAAAAAACCAAAGCTGATTAAGTAAGATGGGAAGAAAGGATACATGTTTTCAATGTAGCCAATTTTAATGTAGCTCAGAGACTAGTTTGCAAGCAGTTTTTTAAATTTCTGTGTTTTTATTTTAACAGGTCTGAGGATTCCAATGAATAATATATTTCTTTCACTTCTGAACATTCATAATCAACAGTTTGGTCATCACTTTAGGAGAATTTTACTCTGAGAAAATATTTGATATGTGCATGAATACATTTTTTTAAATTCATAGTAGAAGATTTCAGTTGGACCAAAAGCTGCATTATTTAAGTGCACATTTTGCATAATTCTGAGGAGAAAGAACCTTTCAAAATATTTTCTGATTCTTCACTTACTTTTTACATACAGTATGTGTGAAACATGTCAGCAGCTTTTGCAGCCAAGCTTCTTCCCAGCATAATTTACTAGAAGAACAAGTATGAAGTCTGACTCCATTGAAGACATCAGTGTTGAAGAAAATACTGCTATACTGACATTAATTTCTTGTTACACCAACAGGAATTCATTTCACATAGGAGGTAGATTTGAAAGAAAACTGCATTTTAACTACTAATAATTCAAACTACAAATTGGTTTGAAAGTGAAAAAATGATTACATGTTTAATGGAAAATGCTCCAAGAATGAAATTCTCGTATTTAAAATTTGTTTACAGTCTACTGCATTATAAAATGATATATAGCAAAACTCTTAGAAGGCCATGGATACACCTTATATTTTTAAATTAGTGTTTGTTTGTTCTCTTACAGTAACATTTTAATTGCAGGGCTTAGTTATAATAAAGTTACACATTTTATTTATAGAAGCAATATTTTATAATGAGAACACTTAAAATTATTTTTATCTATTTGTTTGACTGTTCTTTGATTACTCTAAGGAACTTTTATTTAAGCAGAATGCAAAATTGAAATGAGATTTTACTTCTAAGTTGTAAAATTACAATCATTTTAATCCCTTTTCATTATCCCCATTCATTGTTACAAATATATTTGAATTATGTAATACCCTACTTTTTGTAAATAATTTCTTTTTAACCCCAGGATAATCGTCTAAAGGAGACCACGCCTTAAATACAGTGAATACTGAAAGAAATGTATTCTTAAACAGTATCACTAATAGCTGCAGGCAGCTCATTTTGTACTGTCAGAATACTAAACAGTATCCCTGTATCAAAGCTAGTCTTATCCTATTAAAACTGATCAAAACTCAATTCAGGAGAATTTTGAGTTTGGCCAGCTCCTGCTGTTAAAGTATATGCTTGGAAATGGATAAGATCCCTGATCTTAGGAAAAATCATGTTAAAATTATTTACTATATTAATTTGTTGTCCTGTTCCAAGGATATTTTATGAGATTGCATATTGGTAGGAATGCATACAGTAATTTACTTACTTTTTGGAACAAGAGGCTGCCCTTTTTTCTTTTAACAACAAATAGTTGGAAAAAACATAATACATTTAAATATGTTATGAATCTTAGCCCAATACAACCAGTTCTTACAATTCCCTTTTCTACAGTATTAACGACAATATTGGATATTTTAAAGTGATGCCTGCTATTCTACACTTGGCAGGTGTATTTCTTCAGATGCTTATTGCCTTATATAATCTAAAATATTGTCTTCTGAAGGAAAGCTTAAAATAATATGAGTTTGATTAACATAGGAACACTAAACACTTGACAGAAAAATAATAATAATATATTAGCATCAGATATTTGTTTCATGGAAAAATTGAACATACTGTAATACGTTATTCATAGTTGTAATCCCAGATAATACAGGGTTCTGTGGCAATAATTCATAATTGCAAAATGTAATTGTTAAAGTTTAGAAAACCCCATAATGTCCTTACTGCGCTGATAATTAGTTGTGTCCACAATAAATATACTGCGTTGAATATTTTGCCATGGCACAAAACATGAACTTCTTCTACAGTGAAGGTGATATGTGGATTATGCTAAATTTTGTATAATCATTTGCAGCAGAAGTTTCAAGCAACACGTCACTGGGCCCTTACTAATCTGTTACCAGACCATCTGTGCAAAGATACAGAAATCTTTGCATTATTTTGCATCCACAGGTCTTGAATTTATGGAAGAAGTATATGAAGCTCTCAGGCTTTTATAGTTAAGATTTTTGTCTTGGAAACTGCATGAGTGTTTTTTAAAAATATAATAGTTTAATTATTGCAAGAATATGAAAATGGCGTGAGTCTATAAAAATGGCTTGTTTGTAGGAACATATGCACTGGCTGCTGTACAATAGTTGATCTCCCTTTAGAGTACAAATGTTCATAATCTGTTAGGATGAGACTGGTTCAATTGTCAGTTAAGAGTACAGTAGCAGTAGTTTATTGATCAACACCATGTGCTGTTATCATAGTCAAGTTTTCTGACTAGAAGTAATTCTTAAGTTTATTGCTTAAAGCCCATTGTATATAAAAGTTGTGGCAGGCTAAGAAGTCATAGTGCTCAAGTCTACAAATTTCTCAAAATAAACTTATAAAGTATGTAGAAAAGCATTTAAGAAAAGATCTTAGTAAATATTATTTGAATGATAAATTCCAGTATTTTATTGTTGCATGCTGCCATGCAACTCTATTTCCTACTACTAATGAATGACAAATTTAAGTTAGTTTTTTTAATCCATAACTCATATATCAGTAAATTATCTGCATATGTATAAATAAAGCTGACATTAATAAGGGACGGTAAATGCCAAGTAATGTAATATGATTTGGAAAATATGTGATAAAGAGGCCCAAGTCATTTAAATATTTCCATTTGAAAATTTATTTAAGATGAAGGGGAACAGTAGTACTCACGAAATTGCTTTATCTTCTATACAATGGTTAAAAGAATTATGTTCTTATTAATTGCTTGGTTTTTATGATTATTTACATATTCTGTAATTTAGCATATATACCTTTGTTTCTAATTTCAATCTTTTTCTTACAGAACTCTTCAAAACTGCAACTTATATCTTAAAAATTGTAATCATAGAAACAAGTTTAATGACACTAACTTGGATCTTGCAGGGATATAGGAATAATATGTATTTCACCCTAAGAAGTCTTTGCTCTTGAGCTTCATTTTAGGCAGTTATTACTTTTCATAGTAATGGTTCATTTCTGTAACGGTGCTCTGTGAGGAAGAGGAAACTTTCATAATAGTCAATATTTTATTTTATTTACACTGCCTTTAAAGAATGAATAATACCATCAACCATATGGATTTGTGAGCATGATTTATTTTAATTGTTATGCTTTATAATCCTGGTACTGAAGGTAGTCATAATGATCTCAAAAGATGAAGCAGAATGTGTAACATTCCAAAGCCATACTAGGGAAACTTCTTGCAGCAGTTAAAAGCACCTTATTTTTACTGGTAATGACACCAATCCAGCAACAGCAGGTTTCATAGAAACACATATGGGAAGAAATACTTGGATTGAATGTAGGCTTGTTTATCAATCTGATGATAATTGATGCAAACTAACCTTTTGATATAGTTTCTGGGCAGTCAGATTTTCACTGTATTTAGAAGTCAAAATAATTCTTTGACCAAGCTTCCGCAGAAAAATACATATTTTTTCAGTTATTACATTAATAGCTGGAAAAATAAAGCACTTCTTGTTTTTATCTTATAAATGTAGCTAATGTTGTTTTGAATGAAACAAACATGCTTGTTGCTGAAAAAAATCTTCAATAATTCATGGATTTGAGCTATATAGACATTCTGCATGTAACTTTTTAATAATTATTTCCTAATATTTTGCACAACCCTGTGTGTTGTTTAAGACAGTTATGTGGGACTCCTAAATAGTGCTTCAAAAATAGAAGCAAAAAAAAAAAGCCCATTTTTATTGGGCCCTTAAAAATCTAGAATGGCTTATAAATGCCTTGTGCCAGAAATTTATTTTTCAATTTTCACATACTGATTAGAAGAAAAAGGCCAAAGGCCTATTTCAGGAAATTCTTTACCATGCTCTTGTACCTAAGGTAAACGATGCACTTTCCAAGTGTAAAGGAAATAGACTTAGTGGCAAACTGGTTATACCTTCTTGAATCAAAGAGAGGAAATAAATTTGAGTTTGGCCTGTTTGCTTCATACTGGGACTCAACAAGGGCAGTCATCATCGGACAACTACGTTGTTGTAACTGGCAGTGAATCTGCAATACTTCCACCATGTTTTTTTTTTTTTTGAAGAAATAATGTGCCACGGTCTAGTTTGATCATAGTGCACTAGCTTACAATTCAGTATATAATTTGCTATATTAAATGAGTATGACATTTCTGCAAGGAGATTTCTTACTATCTATAATTCATTTGATAATCTATTGGACAGTTTATTTGACCTAGAGCAATTTCAGGATATTGGCCGCAATTGCTCAAAGTTTGTATTATATCTTCCCATTCTGACAGGATAAACACTAAAACTACACTAAAACTAGACTTGGGTTTTTTATAAGGTAAAACATCAGAAAACACTATTTCTTGTGCTGTCAACTGAGGTCATCTTCCAATAAAGAACACCCAAAAGCCACCAAATTTACACTAGACATACATTTTATTTTTTTAAAAATTAACATTAAATTGTTATTTGTGAATTTAGCAGTCTCTGATAAGCCATTTGGTCACTGCCCCAAATATCCATTTCTATACCTTCTTTCATTTTTTTGGGTCAGTATGCCAACAGATAGAAACAGTGATTAGATACTAAATTCATTTAAAATATCCTAATCTAATCTCTGTTCAAGAGGAAGCCTGATCTTGTCTTGAATACAATGCATATGAATTACAGCATTGTAACTGAATGAACAGGCTCTTTGAACAATTTAGTAGTTTCAGAAAATATATGCTACTCATCTTTTTAAGAGAAAATATGCACTTCCTAAATTTGGAATTTCTGACTCATTTATTGTTGTAGCCCTTTTTATATCCCTGCTGTGATTTGGGGACTGTATAACCCAAAGGGGAGCATGATAATGAAATCTACTTAATTGTGCTATATTGATGCAGACTTTCATGTGAGTTCAGAATCATGAAGGCAGTCCCTTTTATGAATGTGTCCTTATATTGTTTATTTTCTACTGTAAAACTATGGTAGTGAGACAAGCAGTTTTATGTTGATTGGGTATTGCTCATTCATTTATTTGTCATATCAACTGCAAAATTTAATACCTATGATTTTATTCTGTAAAATTTATACATTGCCTCTCGTATCACTTTAGAAGCAGATTATTTCCCCATTCTAATTTGTCTCTCATTTCCTTCCTTTGTTGGTAAAGGTATCTACCTTAGTTATCATTTTCCACACTGAGTCAAGCATGCACAAATACTTTTCCCCAACATCAGTCCCAGCTAATCTATTTTAGCTTATATGTGTGAGTGCCATGCTTTCAATATAGGTAAAATGATAGTAAATTAGAGAGGCAGCTAAGATAAAGTATTTGATCCTGAGATGCTAGTTTGGGTGTGGTTTCTGTCCGTCCCCCCCCCCCAAAAAAAAAAAAACCTCTAGAATTTTGCAAAAACTTTACAGAAAGAATAATCAAATCTTGTTTGCCTATAGTCATGCTTTAGGAATTACCATTATACATAATAGATTCTCCGTCATCCTGGTAGAGTTGTATGGAAGTTGAGTCATGGGAGCTGAACTTTTCTTTTTTTGTTTGAAATGTTTTGCTGCTTATCCAAGTAGTTTATTCAGTCTGAGCATGTTTGTTATGTGAACCTCATATGTTTTCCAGGGTGGTTTCATTTTTGAATAGGTGGTTAGGCTAGTAGGCAGAGAATTGTTAAGAGACCTTACTCTTAAATCTTTCTGTTAAGTGGATCCCAACTTGTTCAGTTTAAAGAGGCTACTTCAATAAGCAGGGACATTTTTCAGACAAACAATGAAAAGTACATTTGCCATGACTTAACTTCCAGATATCATGCATCATGTGTGTTCTTGAAAGTAAATCAAAACATGGTATTTTTGAGAACAAGGATTGAGTCTTTCATTTTTTAAAAAAAGGTAAAAATAGCCACAAGGATCTCCAGATAATTATCTGATATTTCTCCCTATACTATCATTCTATTTTCCTGATTTAAATTATCCTCCTATTATAATTTCTTGCAGGGGAAGTCGTACAGATTTCTGAATGCTTTTTTCCCTTTCTAGTCAAATAACAGATGAGTGAATGGTTGTTAAAGTGAGTATGTGGAATTTATTCCTTATCTAATGTCATCTAATTAAAAATACCAGTGATGTCAGGATGGGTTTCCCAATAACACATTTTACTTGCTTCTTATATTTGTGTTTTTCTATTTAATTATCAGTTATTGTTTTGAGTTGCCAATATCACAGCTGTGTTAATATTTTACTGAAATGCAAAAGACTGCCAACAAAATTGCATAGGTAAGTACTAGAAAATCTTCATAGTACATTTCATTTTTTAAGCTAAAATAAAAATTACTATTAATTGATTTAGTCAGAGTAAAATTTACATCATTTTTCTGCAGTACTTAACACAGCTGTATTTAATGGACACTATTAATGGACATTTCTAAAAAAGCATACTCCTGCAAACCTTTGCAATACCTTTATAATGCTCAGTGTTCTAAAGTATTAAAAAAGATACATAAACCAATTGAGCATTCTTAGCAATATTTTGAAATTTTAAAGTTTAATCTATTTTTGCTTATTTTTCTTTAGTGTAGTCTTTCAGTAATTTTGTTGTATTGCTTTGTACTTCATGTTTTCTACTGTCATGGCTTCAAAATTCAAACCTGTACCGAAAGTCCTGAATGACTGTCTCTTAAACATGCAATGTAACAATATACTTCAAGTTTTGGTGCTTAAAAGTTGCTCTTTCATTTCCTTAAATAAAATATATTTATTTGAATACAGTTTCTGTCATGGGTAGATGTTATAACATTGCTGGGGTGGGAGGAGTAATTAGCAATAGCACTTAGACTTATATACCGCTCCATAATCTTTTACAGCACTCTGAGCAATTTACAGTGTCAGCATATTTCCCTCAACAATCTGGATTCTCATTTTATTTAGAATGAATCAACCTTGAGCTGATCAGGATCGAATTCTTGGCTGTAAGCAGCGTTTGTTTGCAATTAATTCTCCATTCTAACATCTGCAGCATCATAATTCTTCATATGTTCCAATACCCCTTTGCAGCTCCAAATCTGTTGCAAGTTTATGTAATGTTTAACTAAAATCTATCAAATTAAGTAACAACTTTTCCCACAGTTCAGCCTTAAAATTCTTGGCTTCTGTACATAAACTCAGAGGAAATGAAATCAGCTTAAGAAATAACTTTTTAGATTCAATTCTTCCAGTTTACATTTATCATAGACCTTGACTAATAAATCCTGTTTCTTTATCCCTCCCAATCCCATGAAAACCACGAACACCACACTTCTACTGTTTTCCTGTCTCTATAGCCAATAAAGGGAAGTGGCAGAATTAATTTTAATTTCATTTGGTAAGAAACAAGAGAGAGCCCATTATTTCACCAGTGAGGGGGGAAATGGCTGGGAAGGCCAGTGACTGGACAATTCCTGTCATAGCACCTGTAACCAGTTGGTTTGGAGCAATTTGCCTACCATGGAATGAAGTACAATAGGTGAACTAGGCAGCATCACTTAGGTGGCCCTATTTAGAAAACTTCTGATATAGCAGATGATGGGTAGAAGGGGGCTTTTTTGTGGGCTGATGGCAAATAAGAGGACACAATGGTATGTTGTTGGCCTTGCAAAATGGTCAGTGATCTATAATCCTACTACCCATGTTTCCCTCAAAAATAAGATCCGGTATATAGTCACCAAAAAGGCACCAGGTCTTATTTTGTGGGGTGAGGAGAACTTCCACTGACTCATCTAGCGGTGGTGGCACCAACAGCCCCACCCAGCAGGAGCGTGCTGCTGGCCCAGTTCTGTGTCCACTTGTGACTTGAGCATGTCACCCCCGGACCTCCATTCTGCCATCAGAGCCTTCCGGAAAGACCTCTGCAGCCGAAAAACAAGATCTGGATTGACATGTGTCGCCTCCAGCCTCCGTTTTGCCATCAGCTCTGGATTGATCTGCTATAGGCTTCAGAGATTTTTCCGGAAGGCCTCTGATTGTGAAATGAGACCAGGGGGCACAATGAGCATCAAGCCAGAGTCCATTTCTGGGCTGCAGAAGCCTTTCCTAAAGGCCTGTGACAGCGAAAGGGAGGTTGGAGTGACAACACGCAAGCGGTGGCAAGAAAGTGGGCCAGAAAGGCAAGTGTCAGGGTATGTAAGTAGGGCAGTTCCCCACTCTAAGCTTAATTTTTATCCGTGTGCCTTGTTCCACCCCATGCATCCCAGAGTGAGCGGGGTCTTAACTAGGGCCTATTTTTTTGGGGGGGGTAGGGCTTTTATTGGATGCACATGTAAAAAGCTAGTGCTTACTTTCAGGGTAGGTCATATTTTCGGGGAAACACTAGCCGATTATGCAAACAGCTCTTCTTGTGATATGTGGAAGTACCCACATCTAAATATTTTTTTATTTGCTTTGTGTAGCAGTTTTAAAAAATAAAACAATTTTAAAAATGGAAGCTTTTTTTTAGGGAAAGAATCTCCATTTGTTGCGAAAGCAGCTTTTTGTTGTATCCTTCTTCCCTAAAAAAAATTGCTCCAGTACAGGAGATGATTGGTTGGGATCTCCTGGATTGCAGTCTCTTTTGTAAGTGAAATGAGGTCTTCTGTTCATGCATTGGCACTGACTTCCCAAAGTTATCATCATATTATTGATCATTATTTGCTATAGTTTACATCTGAATGTTTTGCAAACAGGGCCAATCAAACAGATGCTTTATTTGTCTAGCTTCAAACTTGCTTAGATTAAAATGGTCAGTAGGCAACAAAAGCCACTTGATTCTGAATAAGCCCAATTTGCTCACTCATGAAACTGGTGTCTATTAGTTTCATTTGATGAATTTTGTGGCCTGGGATCAAGAAATTCTAGATGGAAGAATGAAATTATTGGAAAATTCTGGAGTAGAGTTATGAGAATGAGGCCCCAATAACCAACTTCCAGACAGGGATATACTTATAAAACCTTTTTATGTCAAAGTCATAATTTCACAACATGACACTCTAATTCAAAATCCAGTAGCACCTGAAGAATTAAAGTAAATGCTGCCATTCATGAACAGTTTATAATTCTTAAAAAGAGTTCGAGAAAGAAAAAATAATAAAGTACATTCTCCAGAACAGCAATTGTATTTCAAAATAAAAACTGTATTTTGTTTCTGATTTAAAAGAATTTTTAACAAGACTCCATAATTGTCATATAACAAGTTATACACAATGTGATTGTTCTTTGATGTAAATTCTTGTTTGCTTTTCTTAGTCTATGACAATCAAAAGTATTTTCTGGAATATATGCTAGTGCAGGAGAGCCATTTTGTTAAGAAAAACTGAGTGTAATTGTTAACATATAATTTCTAACACCCATCTAATGTCAATGAACAGTAAAAGATTTTTAATATAATTAATGTATATGTGCACTTATATTTACCTTATCCCATATACATGTTAGATGACTTTTGGGAATTCAGTGGTTCAGCCCTCTTGGATTTTATTTTACAAACAAAAGAACCCAAAGTCAAGCATCTAAATATACATGAGAAAAGAATTTCCCAAATACTGATTTCTGATTACTATTTTTAATTTCAATAGGAAAATATTCTAAATGTGCACATTTAATTTTTTTATATACTGTATATACATATGTGTGTGTACATATACGAATAAGTTTTGTACAACACATATAAACAGCATTGAAGTGGAAATTACTTTGTAAACTTTTTTTCCCACATGTAAATGTCCTTGTATTAAAATTTTTGATCTTATTAAAAACAATATTACATTTTTTGCCATCATATTTCTGCTCTAACTTGCTATAATTAAGAATACCGAGCAAGAACTTACTTCATTCATCCCAAATTACACCAATTTTATACTTTGCTGAAGATGTTTCTGAGTGACACTCATCTAGCAAGAGAATGAGGCGCAAACTTCTTCAGGTAAATTAAAATCAGGTAATCACTACTGTCCTGACCAATAAGGTTACACATCATCAACACTTAGCTATTAAGTTTTAAAAAATCACCATAGAAAGCTTTTATCTATGAATGCAATGAACAAATATTTTCCCAATAATAAATAAAATAAATGATAAAATACTCTAAAACATGGACAAAACAAATGATGTGTACAGTACATATAGTATAATACATCATAATTTAGTGTTTAACAGTAATCCTGATATTTCAGGAGACACTTGTTAAATTACAGATAAACAAAATGTCATTTTATAAATTAAGCCAAATATTTATCCCATTTTAAATACAAATTAGAGTGCCTGTATTATACAGTATATACATACAGTACACACATAAAAAACCCAATTTATATTATCTAGTTTTGAATAGCAGTCCTTAAGTGGAAAAAATACAGAGTTTATATTTAAGCTGTATTTTATATTTAACATCCAAATTAATTTGGTGTAAATAAAAAGGTCAGTGCATTTTTGTCTGATTTTTTTTGTTAAATTTTTAAAAATCTTTTACAATATTAGACAATCTACAGCAAGGCTAGCTCATTCCCATTCGTGAAACAGATTGACCCTCAGTTTGCTTTTCTTTTTTCCTTTAAAATAAAAAATATATACCGGTATATAAAGAAATACATATTTGGCAAAAAATCTTTGTAAATTACATCAATATAACTTAAAAAGAGGTTCACTGAGGATAACTGAATTCAGGTCTTGTTTTGAAATTCAGAACATAGCCTGGCACACATTCCTAATAAAGGTGTTTCATGAACATACAGCAGAAAAAAAAATCTATGCTAATACATTGCTTTTTTTTTTTTTTCTTTAATTGCCTGAGCAAGGTCAATGCCCTAGCAATAACTATATTTCCAGTTTCAGAATTCTTGCTAAATAAATTACTAAAACTTATTTTAAAACATATTTTGATAAGAAAAGTTAAGTCCATGTGATATTCAGTAAGCACAGACTGAACCTTATTAGAACATAGCAAAATTTAAAATACCTTTCAGGGACTTGCTTGTCTTCATAGATAGGCTTCAAAATGCATAACAAAATGAAATACATAATTTCTACATACATGAATTCCCAATAGGAAAAAAGTAAACCATACACTAGACAATATTATAGAACACCAGAGTGAACATTGTAAATAAAGACAGTATCTTCCAGTATAAAAAAAGGGAAGAACTCTATACAAGCATTAATTCATTAGGTCTGAATTAAAGATGCAACTCTCTCTCACTCCTGGCAAGAATTAATTGGTAATGCACTGTTTTTTTCAACAGTACAAAATATCCTGAGAAATTATTCAGATTACAACAAAAGAGAGGGCTGCCATCACAAAGTTCTTGCACAAAACACAGCATACAATTGCCTTAAACAAAGAAAATAAAACTGATCGCCTACATTGTGTGGAACACTAAGAGGGATGTCATTTGAAGCACTTATTATTTCATTGGCTAATAATTAGAAAAGGATTGCATTCAATTACTGTTAATACCCTCGAGTTATCTATGGCCAATTATATACAAGGAGGTAATTTGTACTTCAAGTTATTGTTTTTT